CAGGTATTTGCATGAGCTGTAGCCGGAGCATATACCTCTACGTGGATGGTAACTAGCCTGGCAAGCCAGACCCACGCACGATGTTCCGAAAAACTCTCTTTCAATGTTTCAAACACTACCCCTTTAGACATATATCTAGTCACGCAGTAATGAAACCTTGATAGTTTAGATCGCCAGGATTCAAGACAACTGAGCTATCGTTCTCAGTTTGTTACTTAGCTTTAGCTTGCTAAAATGCCTACATAGCTTCAAAGTGTTCCCTTTTAGGTATGTTACAATCTCCCGATTCCCGCTGCGCCGCTCTTCCGCGCAGGTGTGTTTATGTCATCACGAGTTTGGTGGATGCGGGGAATAACATAGCCGCGGAAAAAGTTGAACGGTGGGTTTATCTTTAAAGTTCCAGGAGCACAGGCTTATAGATGACATAGTTCACATTTTTCGTCACAACCTCGTTTTTGTTTTTGACCAGTCAGAAGTGTTTCGTTTTGCCGTTGCAAAATTACCGATAAATTACTTCTCAAAGGCATCGCTTCAAAATCACTAGAGGTAAATAGATTTTTAATAAAATCCTATAGATTTGATATATCATTTATTCAACCATGTATGTGTGAAATTTCATGACAATTCTTAGTTGCGAAGTCAATGGTTTTGCTTGCGGACGAAAGCATTCCCAACTGAGCGGTCACGGTAATGAGGTGCCCCAGAGGTCACGTGACTGCTATACTGCAACCTGATTCGTCAAGCGCGTTTGTTTACATTGTAGATGACCAAGTGTGTTTGTTATGAGAGATCTTTCACTGATATTTTGTGCATTCCTGCAGGGCTTTTTTCACTAAAACAGCTTATAAAACAAATTGATTAATTTTTCTGAAGATCACATAATTTATTCAATTTCTTTAAATTTCTCAACTTAAGATCACAGCCTTTGTTTAAAATACATTAAGAACAAAAGGAAAAAATGACCACTTATTTCCGCCACTATAATTGCTATAACTTCCTTATTTCAATGATTTTGGTGTCATTCTGTTTGTTATCTAGTTCTCTATCAAATTCAGTTAGATTTTCTGTTATATGGGGGGTTTGGATTTGTTTGTAACATACCTATCCCTTTACTCACGTATTCTTATCAGACATCTTATCAGAAAATGTTTTGTACAGATCGCTGTGTCCATGCTTATGAAATATAATTTTCTCCAAAACGTCTAAAGCTAGCAGGCTAGCATCTATTGCTAATGATAACATGTTAACCACAGTTGGCATTAGTTTTCTAAAATAGAAAGTAACGTTATATTAATGTCTTTACTTACCTCAATGTCATTGTGGAATGCCTTGAGATGTCTTTTAAGGTTTTAAGGTTTGTGGTGTTTTTTTCCAATATTTTGTGGTCGCATTTCTCCTCCATCTGTGTGCCCGAATGGGAGACACAGGAAACAGAAATACCGCATAATAATAACGTGATTAAACGAGAGGAAATAACGTCTTGTCTCGTTTTCGTCAACAAAAATGAAGAGACATTTTAGTGTAGTTTTTATTTTGTAAACCAAATTTAGTCTCGTTTTTATTCGTCAACAATATTACATGATATATTTCGTTATAGTTATCATCACATGACCAGCATTTACGTTGCGTCTCATCTCGTGTCCATCACATCAAAAAGGTTAGTTGACGAAGATATTTCGTCAAAAATTTTGTTGACGAAAACAACACTACTCCCAACTCACCACACAAAATGTTTTGTTACTTACATTAATGTCTGAACCCCCCCCCCCCCCCCCCCCCCCCCCCCCCCCCCCCCCCCCACACACACACACACACACACATTTGTATTCATATCTTTGTAGGAACCGTATATTAATTAAGAAATGAAAAAACCCTAATCCCAACAATCACAACCCCTATGCAGCCCTAACCAAAAAATGCCAGACTTGACATTTCTATTTTTTTTGTCTGTAGCACAGATTTTCATAAAATTGAGTTTCCCCTTGTGGGGACTGAAAAAACGGTCCCCACAACTTTTTACAACATTGTGCGGACTTTCGGTCACAAAAGTGTCACAAGAGTCATAAAGGGAGAATTTTGACTTTCTGTAAAAATGGAGAGATGCTCTGTTCTCAACCCTTCAAAATGTTACTGCAAATCAGACTTAATGTCCATGAGAAATGTGTATGGAAAAACATGAAGCAGAAAAGCCAGAAAATGCTCATGCTAATAAAGAATAGGCCTGGGGGAGGGGCCCGTTGGCATGCATCTGGTGGCCGGACTTTGGCCCGTGGGGCCCGGCCGGGCACAGCCCGAAAGAGGCACGCGGAACTGTCTCCAGGTGGGGGAATGTCAGGGGTTCGGTGCTTTGTGGATCGGGTGGCGGCCAAGGGAGGCCCTGGCGGTCCGATCCCCGGCTGACAAAACTGGCTGGGTGGTGGCCGGGCCCCGGGGGTGGACGAGATCCGCCCGGAGTACCTGAAGGCTCTNCACACACACACACACACACACAGACACAATATTATTTGCAGTTGATATTTGGTATTGTATATTACAGGATCATCCCTTATTGAAAAATACAAAGCTGTGTCCCGTTTTGAAGCAACAATGTTTCATACAGTCCCCCATGCTGGGTCCTCTGGTTTTCCACCCTAAACAAACCTCCCAGTCTGGCCCTGTGCCAACCTGTAGCCTAGCTACTGTCCTAGGGACTAAAAAAATGACATCTTCTGTTTTCTTCAGATTGGGTAAGCAAAAGATTGCCTTGCCCAGGTCCGGAGCACTGAATACGCATGTAAGAGACATAATTAGAAAAGAAAACATAAGAGTGACAGATTCCTACTCAGTTTTAGAGGTTTGACCAGCAGCATCTTTCAGAACAAGTGGACTCTACTTGCATACATCTCCTAAAATATTTGCATTTAATCCCAGTTTGACATAAAAAACAGCGTCCATGTAGAAATAGAAAGTCAACAAAACTTGTCTCATATTTTAAAACATCATAAACCAAGGAAGGACCCTAATGGTTCCCATTCTGTAATGATTTCAGGAAAGCAGAAAACAGTCTTATCTAATCAAAAAAGTCAGTAATCTTTGAAGCCTTATGTTAGTGGTAGGATGGCGATCATTCAATGTATGCAAATGTATGCACGATAAGTGTTCAAGGGTTAAAGCATGAATCGCAATACAACAGTGCATTTACTTTTAATTAGCAAATGCATTTGTCCAAAGCAACATAAAAATAAATCAAGTAGCATGTTACAATCATGCACCTGTTAATTATGTCTCAGTGGATCTTAACTGAGGGATTAGATCTTTAATCGGTGAAATGGTGTGTTTTCCCTTCAGTTGCACACATAAGTCGACTTCCTCAAAAAGTAAGGATTCAGATACAGTGAGCTACGGAGCCCTTAAAGAGACATAGGTGATTATTATTTTTTTTTTTTACAGTATCTGGTGCGCACCAGATACTAACTGGTCCTCACCAGATACTAACTGATGCGCACCAGATACTGAAGTTGCATACTAAAGTGTCTGGTGCGCACCAGATACAGTAAAAAATATATATAAATCACCTATGTCCCTTTAGGGGTTCCGTAGTGATCCACATATGTGAATTAATATTTGAATATATATATTTTTTATTTTGAATACATGATATCACATATGGAGAAGAAACTCCAGTATTCGATATAGGATCACCAGCAACACAAATGGGCAGACATATTGTTGTAAAAAGCCTAAGTAGGTCTTATTATGTTTAGCTGCAAGCCATTGGGACACCTAAAATTAAATGCTCTGATTGATATGGGCAAAATTAGGATTTCTTCCTAAGAGTGAAATGTGTACTGTGTAACTACTGCTTGAAATTGAAATTTTCTTGGCTAATAAATCAGGGATTCAAAGATGCTGATAAATCACATTAATGGGCCAAGCTTAATGTCTATGTTTATTTTTGTGATTTTGACAGTCCTCAACTGTTTGACTGTTGCGAATGCAGACTAAACAGAAATGTCTGAGAAAGAGTAAATACAGACTATTATTAGTCTAACAGTGATGCACAAGAGCAGACAAAATTGGATCATTTAATACATGCCATTTTCCTGCAATGGAAAACTATTGGTAAGTAAAAGAGCAATTGCATTCCCCTGCCTAATACATCATCGATGTTTTATTGTTATGTATGTTCTGTCTTTAAGCAGTAATTAGCTTGGCATTATATGGCTTTTTTATATAGAAATTAGAAAAAAAAAATGCAGCCGTGGTTTTGGATAATCCCTCCACTATTTAATTGGTCATTGCAACACACATTGTAAGGAAAAGATATGTGCAGGCTGGTGCACCAAAAGTAAATGGTTGCAAAATCATCCCTTAACTTTGAAAAGTTAATCTTGTTTTGGAGCAACAGTGTCCTGAACAGTGTGGCACAGTATACTGTGTAACTTTGACTTGGTGTGTATTGCAAAATATGAGTTTTTTTGGCCTCAGGGGACTGCGTTAAGAGAAAGAGATAGAGGAAAAAAGTGGTGGGGGTTGATAATAATACTTTAAAATATTATCACTTCTTGTAAATTATTTGCTTTAAAAAGTGTTTAGAAAATTTATTTGTTTCTACTATAGCCCATTTTAAACTGGTTGCTTTATTGATTTTATATTATATTTCTTGGCAATTAGCTGTGAGCTTTGTTTGAGAGTGAATAAAGAATAAGATGATACCAGAGGATCTAGTGTTGGCATCAAAACATGACCAACAGGTTGTGACCTACAGGAATTGTTTTTAAAGTATTTATAGTGAAATCTATGGATCTGGAGGGCATAAAATCCTCTTTAGTTGTCTTGATTTTGGACAAACCAAATTGTACAAGTTTTCCATCCTAGAGCTTGTGTCTAACAGACGGTGAAAGAGTTAGAAAGGAAAAGATTTTCTAAGGACCACTGGAGGTATCAGATTTCTTATGTTCTTTTTCTGGTCTTTCTCTCCACCCCCACGACACACACACACACACACACACATCCTCAAGCTACACCATGTTCTGTTAGATTACAAAGTGACTACTGGAGCACAGAACAGCGCTCTGAGAGTTCTGGAAAGAAAACAAGGAAGAGACTAAGACAGAAAGGTAGGTGAGTTACATGTTTTTACACAAGTAGAACCGAATGAAAAGGCCAGGATTTGGTTCCTTTTGTTATCCTGCAGATTCCGTGTATGCTGTTTGCCTGTGCTTTGAGTTCTTTGGAAGACTCAGCTTTCTCCTGCAGCTCAGGGTTATAGGTGTGTAAATAAGTGAAAACATGTCTGTTCTATAGCCTATAGAAGTTATGTAGCCAGGTTGTGTATGTATGTGTGTGGGCACACATGCTTGGTTTTGAATCTGAAATAGCAGGTGTGATTGCAGAAACTCCGGAGGGGATGTATTGATAAATGTGTTGAAATTGTGAATATTAAATTAGGTTTAAAAGGGATACAAGGTACTTACTAGGGGTGTAAATCACAGCTTTCCTTCATCGATTCCTTAAGCCAACGGTTCGATTTTTTTTTAATACCTCAGAAATTCCCACGATATGATACGATACAATTTGATTCAGTTCGATACTGGGGGTAATAGTCAAAATGATGAAATTTCACACAATCCTTTACATTTCAATTAATTAAAAAAGGCAAATATAATTAGCATTTTATCATATTTTATTGGGAACTGTAAACAAAATCTAGTGTAGTCAAGTATGTCCCATAAAACAAGCAAAATAAAGTGCAATAAGGTAAAAATACATTGCACTAAACACGAGTACATACGCTAACTTGCGAGCTACTTACAAGTAACCAAGTCAAAATTAACTGCCTATTATAAAAATGCAAAGCATATATTTATGTATAAAAATATTGAGTATTCTTTGATATTATTACTAGTATAATTTCCCTTTGGGATAAAAAAAAAGTATTTTAGAATTGAACTGGGATTCTAGTTCCGTCACCTTTCTATTTCTCGGCTCGCTTTTCGGAGGGAAGTTAATGTCGTAGTCCGAAAATGCCACTCCACATTTCTCTTCTTCGGAATAGCAACGGTAGACTGACAGATAAGGCAAATGCACTTCAAATATGACATGGTGAAAAAAAACAGTCCTCCTCCCATTCTGTATGGAAGTGGTAGGTTTTTGGCTTCTTGCTTGGTCCTGCTCCCCCATTCATTTTTATACCCTTTTTTAAGTTTAGTAGAAATTAATTGAAGGCTAACTAGGGAACTAGCACACTACACTAGACGTGCCTCTCTTGTCTAGTTTTAAAGTTACTAACCCATTCATATCCCATTGCACATTATATGGATACATTCGAACATTAAGAAATTTATTAAAATTCGTACGAAAAGTAACATGGGAAACAAAGGGGTGTGCAACAGTCGCCTTGAGCCCAAAATGCTAAACCACCATGTCATTACAGCTGAAAGAACATATAATATTAGCTATTAACACGATTTTGCACAAATCACGAAATGGTTTGAAGCGCAAAAATAATCATTGTGCATCGTTGTCTATGTACTGGACATCATGATTCTGTCATTAAAAATGCCCCACCTTACTTCCGTTAAAAGTGATTAAAACCATAAAGCTGAATAGCCAATCGTAGTCAATATTTAAAAAACCAATCAAAGGAGTGGAGATATTAGCCACTGTTCAAAAAAAAATAAATTTGCAACTGTTCCCGCCTCTAAAGTGTCAAAATTCATCCTGTCCCTACTGGATCCGTAGCTTCCAGATCCGGTTCATGTATAAACGGTGCTTACGCACAAAAATGTTGCGCACGCCCGTTTCCACGCTCAGGTCGAGATGTATAAAAACTAAACTTGGCGTACCGCCACGCACATTCTCACGGCAACCCCAGACAAGGCGTACGCAAAAGTTTCTGCTCGATTTGGCAAAATGGAGGCACCTACTGGCAAAAGAGTGCTACTGCAGTTTCA